CGTTACAGGTATATCGGTGGACCCCGTTGACTGCCTCGTGGGCCGAGGCATGTTATGATGGGAGTAGTCCTCTCAGGAGATTGGTATGCTGATACAGGTTTATATATACTAGAAAAAATAGATTGGTTAATAAGACCAAAAAGATTTGTAGCCGCTCTAATATTAGGAATTACTGCTTTAATCAGTATAATAACCTCTATTACATTATCAACTACTACTTTAGTACAAGAAGTACATACTGCACAACATGTTAATCAGCTCTCTCACAATATTTCCCTTGCACTAATTCTATGAGAGAAAATTGATAAAAAATTAGAAACTAGAGTAAATGCCTTAGAAGATACGGTTATATATTTAAGTGACCAGATTCAAAATATAAAGACTCAAATGACTACTAGTTGTCATGCAGATTTTAAATGGATTTGTGTCACACCTTTGCCTTATGATCAAAATTCCACCACTTGGCCTCAGGTAAAAACTCATTTACAAGGTATTTGGCATGATACTATGTTAGGCCCTGATCTCAAAGGCCTACATACCAAAATTACAGAAATTAGTCAGGCATATTTAACTGCACCAGGCTCTGAAATTGCAGACAGAATCTGGAAGTCTATTTAAGAATCCATCAACCCTGTCATGTGGTGGTCTAGTTTAATACATATTGGAATCACTGGCTTAATTATTCTAATTTTAATCCTTGTTTTTCCAGTCGTCTTCCGAGTAATCCTCTCCTCCCTTCGAAAAACTACGTTGGAATTTCATCAATTTCGGCTGAAAAATAAAAAAGAGGGAAATGCCATGTCCACTGCCGCGTCCACTGTTGGATCCCTCTCTCCGTGACAAGGTCCTCAGAGGGGGTGTAAGACTTCAAGGAAGCAGTTTCCAACCTGGTGGATGTGGCATGGAAGGCCCTGCAATACCTATTGTGATTGTGCTTGCTTTGGGGATCATGACCCTTTCTGCTTTAATCATTATGAATACCCTGGCAGTGATTCAGATAGTGTGCCTAGACCTTTCCCGGCTCAATGAACAGAATAATAATATCATACTAGAACGTCAGGGAATATAAGTACAAAGAAACAACCAGAACAATCTGAGAATTCAAGCTTAATAACAGATCATTAGAAAAACACCCAAGATAAGATAGAATACTCTAGGAAATCAGGAGATGATCTCACTGCTTTCTTAGAGGGAATCAAAGTACAAAACATGTCTATAAAAGAACTCCTAGAGAAACTTAAAAGAAGTACCCTTGAAAGCCCCCTGCAACATAGGAATAGCCCCTCCTTTACCTTGAATAAGAATATATATCAACTAGACAGGCAAAGAAATAACAAAAGCTAGTTAGTTATTACAAACTAAACAGTTACTAAGGAGTCAGAATTTATGGTACACAGAAAAACATTTTAAGCAAAAAAAAAAAGGTAGATAGCTAAGTTAGACATCACAAGGGCCTTATAATAAATTTCCTATTTTCTCTACTCAATCTAGCGTATCCTTTTGCCCTATGACAAATTCTGAGAAACTTTAATATATAATAAGATACTTCTAATTGTCTGATTAATGGCTCTCCTAGTTAAAATAATCTTTAAATCTATGGGAACTTTCGTACTTTTACTGATTACCTTTGTATTGATTTTTTCTGCTTAAATGATCATGTTATACTGCAAATGTTAATCACTACCTAAAATGAAAATACAAAAACCTGCTTGTACTTGCAATAAACGGAACAGAGCTTCACTGTCCTTTGAGGCGTGTTGTCATCTGTTACCCAGCGCCAACGCCTACCCTCACCTGTGGGACCCCTTGACCCACTGCGGCTGGACCGCGGCAGCCCGGTAGCCTACTTATCAAAACAGCTTGATCCTACCCTACATCCATCCTTCTCTCTGCTCTGAAAAGTAGCTGTAGAGGGCTAGATGGCTGGACTGCCCCTTACAGATGGCACACTCTCTGCTTCTTCTATGATCAGACGGATGGTAATTGCAAACTCTGGCCAGACATATATGGAGGCTGCCCCTACTACTATTGCAAATACCATGAGTGGAGTACTCTCCAGCCGTGGTGCTTTACCATTTATGACCCATGGGACTCCAAATGGGAGCAGGGAGTGAAGGGAAAACTATACCAAAGCTTCTCATCTTCGCCTCCCCAGAGTTTCATTGAAATATACCAAGCTCTTCTTCCAGGACCATGGAATAAAACCCTATTGACTAATACCATATTAACACATGAACAATCCTTGCAAACACTGATCTGACAAGGAAAACAGGAGAGTGCCCCTTTCTCTTGGCTAAGCCTCACATGCCACCAAGGAATTCAACTCTTCAATATCACTGACATAGGAAATGTCACCGACTGTTTCCTATGTGCTTTTCTTGACCGCTCCCCTATTACAGCAGTCCCCATACCAACTCTTCTCAATGTCACAAACTCCCCAACACCTTTTTTCCTAAAAGATGTACCTCTCTTTCAAAACATAATGAACAGTCCCAAAGTATGTTATTCTACGGCAGGTACTTCCTCCTGCAACCAGACCGTGCAGATATCGGAAACCACCACCAGCCCCCAGGTACGTTTTTCTGGTGCAATGGAATGCTGCTGCAGACCATTAACTCCTCCGCGGCCTTCCCCTGCCTCCTGACTGTGCTGACCCCACAGCTTATGCATTATGGAGAAGGAGAGCTCAGAGACAAACTAGCCAGACATAAAGAAAAATGAGCCGTCTTCCTGCCCATGTTAGTAGGTCTAACCTTCACCACAACCCTGGCAGCAGCTGGGATAGGCAGCACCGGGTTAACACACAGTCTCCAAGCCACTCACCAGTTACGGGCTGAGTTGGAGAAGGCCCTTGATGCCTCTGCCACCTCCCTAACATCTCTGCAGAGACAGATAACCTCGGGAGCCCAGGTTGCCCTCCAGAACCTCGGAGCTCTACACCTACTAACAGCAGAAAAAGGGGGAACATGTCTCTTCCTGCAGGAACGGTGCTGCTTCTATGTGAATGAGAGCGGCACAGTAGAAGAGAATGTTAATACCCTACAGAACCTCAGGGACAAATTACGCCGAGACCCCACCCCTCTCAAAACAATAACCCCGAGGTGGTGCTCCCTACTCTTTACCTCCCTGGCCCCGGTCCTAGGGCCAGTCATAATAATCTGCATACTATTAATGCTTGTCCCTTGTTTCCTGAGATTCCTCCAGGAAAGAATTCAGAAAGCCTCCCGGGTTACCTTTAACCAGATACTGCTTCAGACCCAAACCTACTCACCCCTCCCTGACGAACCAGAAACAGCCAACCTCTAGCCCCTCCCCTCTATGCCCCCCTGACAGCAGCAAGTAGCCAGATCAAACACAATGCCCCTTATCCTAACAAAGAGGTCGGAATGTCAGGATAGGGGTTTAGGAAGAAATGGTGGCCAGACTACAATCAAAATGGCTGGACTACAATGTGGAAAAGACAGCTTATGTCAAACCAGGGAGCTGAAAGGGCTGGCTTGCCAAAACGGATATCCGCATAGCAACCTGAGCCCGAGGAGAACCACCAATGATATATTGCCGCTTTGTTCAAAGGGGACCAATCCCCAGCTCCCACCAAGAGCCAACCAAAATAACTCTTCCCCCCACATTCCCTGTGTGGGCGTGACTTCCCTGGCCTCACTCTGTGGACTGGAGAACCTCGCCCTGGTGTGCAAACCCCAATAAAGCTCTATACTGCCTAACTTTGTGGCTGATTCCTCGGCATGGCCGAAGAACACCTTTCACTTTCCTTTTCACCAATCTCTAACGTGGAGAGCTATAATTCTCTGGCGAAGGGAAAGGCAAACCTAGTACAGGGGGACCCCAGGAGAAGGGGGGGGTCAAAAATGTAACATTGTGGGACCCCTTCCCTGGCAGCCAATCCGGGAAAACCATGGGAGACCACATGTGCAGTAGCTTTACAACTCCTTGTCACAGTAAAAGCCTGCCAAAATTAGCCAGGAAGGATCTGCCCTATAAGAATAGAGTCCCTCTAGCCCATGAAGTCAATCTCTGCTTGCAGTTGGCCTGCTCCCATGTTCTCTGTTACAAACTCGGTGTTCGGTTCAAATCTTTGTCCTGATCACCAAGAACCTGGTTACCTGTGCCCGCCCACCTGTGACAGATAAATAATATTTTATTATTCATTTCTGTGGTAGATGTTTAGATTGCTTTAAATTTTTTCCATATTATAAATAACACTGTGACAAAACTTTGACTGTATTTTGGAGTATTTCCTTAGGAGAGATTTTTAAAAATGGATCTGTCAGGGCAAAGGTTGTAGGAGACCATTCTCCATGGTGTGGGCCCAGCCCCCAGTGGCAAACATTTACTGCGAAGTAACTTCCTAAAATCCGTGATAAACTTTCCAAGGACAAGTGTAACCGGTTCAACCACTTTAGCCTTTTTGTTTGCAAATATCTCTCTTCTGTGCTGTGATTAGCAGTGTTGGCTCCTTTGTTTTCTGTAAAAAGTAACCACCTAAAGCAACTTATGCATAGTAAATGAGGACCATCATGTAATGTGCAGAGAAATCCAATAAAGGCCAGTCACAGCAAGGGCCCTGGCTTTTTGTTCCCCTTGAGAGAAAAGCCATGCTGTCCCTTTCCCTCCACCGGACTTGGTAGTCCGTGTGAATGTCTCATTTCATCCATAATGATGCAGACACTGTGGGCTCGTGTCCTCATCAAAAGGTTTTAAACATTTTTATTAAGCCTGATATATATTATAAATCCATGATGAATTCTTAAATACCTTTGACTCCAGATACTACATTCTATTGCTAAGAAATGGAATCCCCCTATGGTAAAGATTTTTCTAAGTAGGAAAATAGGAAGAAATAGTTGAGAAAGCAGACTCTGGTGTCAGACTGCCTGGATTCAAGTACCAGTTCTATCACTTGCTAACTATACAGACACACACAAGCCCCTGAATCCTTCTCACACAATATACTTGTACATAAAGCAGAAGGCCGGACTCACCATGAGGGCTCAATAGAGGTGAACCTTCATCATTGCCTTTAGATTCCCAAACAGCAGTTGTATCTGTAATTCAAAAAAAGCCAAAATAATCTTCAAATAATAGAATAAGAGTAAACATAAAACAAATGACAAACTAATGCTCCTGTAACTAGATCACAAGTGGGCAGGTTCATTTACTGTGAATACTATTTACACCACTGTGGTTATTAATTACATAAAAATAAACATCACTTTACTGAGTGCCTATCCTCATTAAAAACATTACATATTACTGTCTCATTTAATCCTCAAACAACCCTATATGGTGGTAGTAATAACAATAACAACAACAATAACCAATATTCCAATTGCTTATTATGTGTCATGCATGGTTCTAGGTAATAACATTAATCACTATAAAACCTACAAAGTAAAGGCTTTTCATTTTACTATTATCCTCATTTTACAGATAATATAATCAAGGCACACAGAGGTTAAATAACTCGTCCAAGGTTATATAGCTAATAAGGTAGATATTATTATGCTCATTTTATAAGTAAGAAAATTGAACTTTGTGAAAATTGCCCATAAGGTAATGGAGCAGGCTTTGAACCCATATCTGTTGAATTCTTGAGTCCACGTTCTTTTATTCTACCACTCTGCCACCTTTATATGGATCTCTGTACAGAGAACACCCTGTATAGGACAGCAAATGTTTAAGGCTGGCTTCCCTCCCTCCTGCTTTCTTCTGTCATAAACCATGTATGCTAAGAATGGCCTCATTATAACCTGTGCCTCTGAGAATATAATTGGGAAGGCAAGCCTAACACAAAAGCCCACCTACTGAAAGGCTTCCCTTAAGACAACTTTTTATCTCTCCTGGGGCACTGACCTGTTGTAATTCTTCTAGAATGCATACCTGAGAGTTCCTAAGGCCTCCCTTTCAGATACATGGAGATTCCTAATCTGGTGCTTCTGCCAACACTTCAAAGATTTTTCAAATATGTGCTACGGAGAGCATCTCCTATTTCCCTCTGCCTCAGAAAGCCCTGAACATTCTCACTACTGGGAGAAACGAAGCTGTTTCGAGCCTCCAAAACTACCTTGAAAATACATTTGCAAAGGGATGGAACCCACGGGGAGAAACCTGAACTAAAGTCTTAACTCTTGAACAAACCGACTGTTTAAACTTGGACAAATTATTTATTTTCTCTGTGCCTCGGTTTCCTCTTCTGTAAAATAAAGGGTATTGTTAGACAGTTTTCCAGGCCCATCCGAGCTCTCAAAGAAAATGAAAATGAATTTGGAGTCCATAGCAGTGAAATCCCAGGAGGGCAATGGTTGTGTAAAAGCTCAAAGCCCAAAGCCCAGAACAGGTTTGTAACCATTAACTGAAACCTGCCATGGCTGGCTAACTTGAACAGTGGGGAAGCGCCCTGGGAGTCTGGTTTAAGAATGTGAATCTTTTGAGAAATTACTTAATATAGAGTTGAAGAATTTGGTGGAGAAATGTAAGTAGTGATAAATAAGTCCTCTTCACTTTTGCAGAATAAAACAAACCTTTTTTTTTTTTCTAAAAAAAAAAAAACACGAGTAAAGATAGGATCCTGCTGCCCCCTTGTGGCACAATGGACAGCTTAAGAAAGAAGAGTTTACTGTACTTCATCTGTTTCCCCCAGTATAAATCCCTCTCGGAAGACCACATCTTCCTACACCCTTACAGAGCCTGGCAATTCACAAAACACTTCCGACCCCATTATCTCATTTCATTCTCCCAGCAACTTTGTGGAGTGGCAAGAAGGAGGTATAACTTCACTGCACCACAGAAGAAACCAAAACTCAGACAGACTATGTGATTTGCCTAAGGTCACACAGTAACTGGCAGTGGCAGCTTGAACCCACATCTCCTTACTTAAATCAACCAATTCATTGCATTCTACTGCATAGGCGTGGGGATGAAACAGGTTTAGGTATGCTCCCAGTCTAGGAATTTGAGAGTGTGGCTTCAGAAGAGAAACACTCAATTCCCTCTCTAGAAGCAACTGGCCGCAGGGCCACAATCAGGCTGCGTGCCTATAGAAAAAGGCACCCAGGTAAGCTTGGATTCCTGTCTTCCTGGTGTGCACATCTGTGGGCTTCTCCAGTTGCTCTCCCTCACTCAGTTCCCAACCCCATCCTGCCTATCAGAGCTCAAGACGTTTATAGCTAAATGCTGACCAAATGAATCTCAGGCAAGGGAGCCATAACATCCAGAAAAACGCAACAACTACTAGGATCTTTCTTCTGTCCCTGGGTTCGAGCTCATATCCATGGATCAAATTTTCTTATAAATTTTGATGGAAAGACCAGTTAGTTGGCTTGTGCCATAATGATGTCATGCTCCCTGAAACTGGAGGGGCAATGTTAGGGTTATATGTTTTACCAAACGGCATATAGGAATAACCTAAAATCACCACATTTTTAGTACTATAAGATGCACCAGACCACAAGACACACCTAGGTTTTACAGAAGAAAAATAGGAAAAAAATTTTGAAGCAAAAAATGTGGTAAAATATTTAATAACCTATGACCCCGCTCCACCCCCACCCCCCACAGCAAGCCAGGTAAGCTACATTTGGACTATAAGACACACCCCCTTTTTCCTCCCAAATTTGGGAGAGTGACTCTTATAGTCCAAAAAATATTGTATCTGAGAATTTCAAACTTCAATTTCTCCAAGGGAACTATAACTTTTTTCATATAGAATTGCAAAGCAAAGAAAGAGAGAGGAAAAAAAGAATTGCAAAGCCCTGTGCCTGAACTTTCCAACACCATAGTTTTTCCTTTAGTTTCATTCATTCTTTCACTCGCTCACTGAGTAGACATTTTACTAAATGATTAGGGCACTGTGGTAATCCCCTTAATGAAGATTTTGTTGCCTAGTGGTGAACAGAGGAAAAGTACATAATTATAAGTGCATGTGAGATACATATAGTAAATGATTGGGGGTTAGCAGGAAAAAATAAAATTCCTCTAGGCTGGGGGTCAGGAGACTGGGGAAAGAATGGATAAAAAAACAATGTTACAGATATATAGCACATAAAGGTTTTCACAGTCTGGCCTTTTCAAACCCTCCCTGCCTTCCCTCCTGTTACTACCTTGCTCTTACCCTACCATATTCTGAACATAAATTTTCTTTAGTAATGTAAGGATTAAGCATTTAGGTTTTGGCCCTGGCCAGTGAGGCTCAATTGGTTGGGACATTGTACTGTAGACTGAAAGGTCTCAGGTTCAGTTCCTGGTCAGAGCACATACCCAGGTTGTGGGTTTGATCTCCAGTCAGGCCACATATTAGAAGGCATCCAGTAGACATTTCTGTCTCCCTCTCCCCTCCACCAACATCTCTGAAAGGTTTTCTTAGGCTCCGCGGAGGAAGAAATGCCAATCGGCCACAAAGTTAGGCAGTACAGAGCTTTATTGGGGTCTGTGCACCCTAGAGAGGTTCTCCCGTCTGCAGAGTGGGGGGGGGAAGTCACGCCCACACAGGGAATGTGGGGGGAGGGTTATTTTGTTGGCTCTCTTCGTGGGAGCTGGGGATTGGTCCCCTTTGAACAAAGTGGCAATATATCATTGGTGGCTCTCCTTGGGCTCAGGTTGCTATACGGATATCCGTTTTGGCAAAGCCCGCCCTTTCAGCTCTCTGGTTTGATGTCAGCTGTCTTTTCCAGGTTGTAGTTCAGCCACCATTTTGTCCTACCCCACCCATCCTGACAATCTCTATCTCCTTTTCTCTCTAAAAGCAATGAAAAAATGTCCTTGGGTGAGGATAAAAAAAGAAGGAGTTTAGGTTTTGGAACCAGATCTTGGTTCTGATCCCAGCTCGGACACATCAGACAACCTTGGGTAAATTACAGAACTTCCCCAAGCTTCAGTTTCCTGATCTGTAGAGTGAGTATTTTAGTTAACACTCAATTTTAAAGGATTTTGTGAGAGTCAAGTGATATGATGTGTGCAAAGCACCTACCTACCTTTGTGCCTGACTCACAGAAAGGACTTCGTAAATAGCAGTTGTTGTTGTTAGCTATCTCTGTGCCTCTGATCATGTTGTTTTCTTTGCCTAAAACTCCCTCCACTTTCTCAAACTGTTTTACCCTTATTTCTCTTAAGTACCCTGGCTCCTGCTAGCTGTTCCCCGCTAAGTGCTTAGAGCTTTTGTTCACACCTCCTTTACTGTATTTATGTGATATCAACTTGTATTTGTTTGTAAGTCTGCCTTTCAGATGTGTGGGGCTCAGAATGGGTCTTACATCATATGACTCCTGGTACCATTGAGAAATTACCATTGAATAAATAAGATTACATTTGAGCTGTACCTTAAATAAATAAACAGAAAAGAAAGCATACATCTAGATGACCTTTAAATGTGGATATTAACCTATTCACATTGTACATTAAACCATTTGAAACCACTAGAATTGATTACCAAGGATTAGCCTTTAAGATGGGCTGACACCATCAAAGCTAGACAAATTTTAATTAGGAGAATCTGGGGGTGAATGCTTGGATGAATGGAAGCAGCCTGGAGCTGAGGCAGCAGCTCAGGAAACCACTGCAGGACTAGGGGTATTCAGTATTAGAACACTTTGTATGTCAGTTCTATGATCTCTCACTTCTGAATTTTGTTTCTAATAACTGAATTTTCTCCATGTTATGATGGTATGATCCTGTCTCTTTGAATGTCCAGTAATTTTTCATTGGATGCCAGATATCATCATTTTCCTTCCTTTAGGGATTAGAGTCCTGTGATGCCTGTTTTCCAATGTCTGAAAACTGTTGTTTTCTATATGTTATTAGGTTTTTTTAGTTGTTTCAGGTAAGAGAATAAATTCTCTTTCTAATACTCCATCACAGCCAGGAATGGAAGGCCTTGCAACCCCAAATAAATTAAAATATCTAAGTATTAAGCATCAATGATTGCTAATATCACAGAAAGATAATTAGGCCATAGGTGCCTCCTGATGACACACCATCTATGAATTAGTCATGCAAAAAAGTATACATCAAAATGAGTCTCATCAAGCCTCTATCTATCAATTTACAGGAA